AAAAAAAAAAAAAAAAAGCTGACATTTCTCAAACTAAATAAATAAATAAAAACTGCCTGTAGCTCTTTGGGAGAGAAAAGGGGACTCATTCCAGGGAATACTAAGACTGTGAAATGTCTTCTTGCGTTGCTCATTTTCAAACCTCCAAGCAATTTTACACGAGTTAGAAGTGTGTAGAGATGTGATAGAAATATTTCATTGACGTGCGATGGAGAACATGCCTTATTTCCCCCAGGTTATACTTTTGAGGCAATCTGACTGCACTTTGGGGTAGCATTTTCAAGCACGCTGTGATCATAATATCCAAACTAGCGTTTTGAACGGTGTTATTTAATCAGTCTGCTAATTTAGCGATCTGGCAAGAGAGGAACACTAAGAGCATGAGGAGATGACCAAACTTGCCCGGAATTTTAAAACTGTGATGGAAACACTTCTGTCCGTGCCACGTGTGAGCAATACATGAATCACCGAAGACAGTGATCAACCGCCTTTCACTCAAATGATTTGGGAAGCATCAGCAAACTCTGAGACAAGGGAAGTTGGATTTTCATTTATTAGCAACTCCTCCGAGTTCTCTTTTTGCATACCAGGCGAAGTAAACCACATATGCACTTTGTTCCCTGAAATATTTTATAGATGAGGAAAAGAGTTTATATAATGGGTTTTTAAACCCATTATAAGGCTGGGTGCTGTGGCTCATGCCTGTAATCCCAGCACTTTAGGAGGCTGAGGCAGATGGATCATGAGGTCAGGAGATTGAGCCCATCCTGGCGTTTCGCCAACTTGGTGAAACGCTGTCTCTACTAAAAATACAAAAATTATCCAGGTGTGGTAATCCCAGCTACTTAAGAGACTGAGGCAGGCGAATTGCTTGAACTGGGGGACGTGGAGGTTGCAGTGAGCCAAGATCACGCCACTTCACTCCAGCCTGGGCAACACCGCAAGACTCTGTCTCAGAAAAAAAAAAAATGATATAGATATATAATAAACATATTACATATATCATGTATATTATATATATTACATACATATGTGTGTATATATAGGTTTTTACATATATTTATAAACCTTTATGGCAGACTGCCACTTTACCTTAATACTTTGTCAGTGGGAAATTGCTGATTTGAACTCTGCCTTTGTATCTGTCAGTACAAAAAAATAACAAGTTGATGTTATTTAGAGCAAATAGAACTGATTTCAAAACTAATTAGAATACATTTTGATTGAGAAAATGAATACTCAGGCACCATCATCAGTTGAGGGGTCTACCATAAAAGTGCTAGAAATTTTCATTGGTTTGGGTTTGCAACTTGTATGTTAAAACCTGTCCCATGGTCATCCACATAGCGTACCTACTGTAGCTTGTTACCAATTGAGATCAGAGGTCTGAACAGCTATAAGCAAATTATGCTGTTAAATCAGGAAAATATTAAAATATAAAGCTCAATTTTATATGCAAAATTATCTTAAGACAGTCAAAATTTCAAATTCACAAGGAAATCAGTAAAATGAAAGGGTTGAAAAGACTCTTCAAATATCAGTGCTACTTAAATATTGATTATAATGAGCTATTAAAATACGAAGCTTTAATTTTTCTTATAAGAAACACTGTTAGGCATAGTGGCTCAAGCCTGTAATCTGAGCACAGTTGAGCCCAGGAGTTGAGATCAGCCTGCTCAACAGAACCCCCATCTCTAATTTTTTTTTTTGAGGCAGGGTCTCACTCTGTTGCCTATATGTGATCATATGTTGATCTACGTGTGATCCTAGATCACTGAAAACTCAACTTCCTGGCTCAAGTAATCCCCCCACCTCAGTCTCACAAGTAGCTGGGACTACAGGTGTGTGACACTACTGCAGGTTATTTATTTTTTGTATTTTTTAAGAGATGAAGTCTTGCTATGTTGCCCAAGCTGGTCTCAAACTCCTGAGCTCAAGCCTTCCTCTCAGCTCAGCCTCTCAAAATGCTGGGATTACAGGCATGAGCCACCATGCCCAGCCTGTCATCTCTATTTTTGGAAGGAAAGAAGAAAGGGAGGGAGGGAGGGAGGCAGGCTGTGGCAGCATTCTTGGACCCTTGTCCTCAGGGTGGCAGACCCCATGCATCTGTCTCTAACACAGTCTAAGTGTTATCAGAGTCAGCCAAAGTATGCTGCAAAAGAAAAACACTTTTCTGTAACTAAATGGCATAGTTTTCTCAAAATCTGAAAGAAAAATGCAAAATTAATCTTTTTTTCCTCAGAAGCATAAAGTAGGTATACAGGTATATTTGCTGAATCATAAAAACCCATCTCTAGACCAGGTGCAGTGGCTCATGCCTATAATCCTAACACGCTGGGAGGCCGAGGTGGGTGGATCACTTGAGGTCAAGAATTTGAGACCAGCCTGGCCAACATGTGAAACCCCATGTCTACTAAAATACAAAAATTAGCTGGATGTGGTGGCACGTACCTATAATCCCAGCTACCAGGGAGGATGAGGCAGGAGAATCGCTTGAACCCGGGAGGCGGAGGTTACAGTTCGTTGAGATCATGCAACTGCACTCAAGCCTGGGCGACCGAGCGAGATTCTGTCTCAAAAAAAAAAAAAAGAAAGAAAGAAAAAAACTGTCTCTAAAGGTAGAAACAACCCCAACATCCACCAACACATGAATGAATAAAGAAAATGTGGCATACATGTGCATTTTGCCACAAATAGAAGGAAACGTTAGGGAACAAGGCTTTGCTGTCACTAGCTTTCCGGCTGCCTGTCCAGGAGATCCTGCCACGTGGCAGATGGGAGCTGAGTTACCTATAAGGGGAGAGGGCTGAAGGCATTAAAGTGTACTGAGTTCAAATCCAGAGGCTGCTCCTCAATCTTGACTGCACACGCAGGCCACCTGGGGACCTTGTAAACCACAGGGTGGGCTGGGCAGTGCCTGGGACTCTGCATTTCTAATGTATCCTCAGGTCCCTGCACTACACTTGGAGTGGCATAAGGTGCTAGGGTATACACTGTTGAAAGTATCGCCGTGGGCCCGGCACGGTGGCTTGTGCCTTTAATCCCAGAGGCTTGGGAGGCTGAGGCTGAGGCAGGAGGATCACTGGAACCCAGGAGTTCAAGACCATCCTGGGAAACATAGCGACAACCTGCTCTATCTTTAAAATAGCTGGCCATGGTGGCATGTGCCTGTGGTCCCAGCTACTCCAGAGACTGAGGTGGGAGGACCCCTTGAGCCAAGGAGTTGAGACTGCAGTGAGATATGATGGCGCTGCCACCAGAGGAAGGTCTGCACTAGGAGTCATCCAGGTTCTTGGTGTTTTGAACAAAGGATTGGGCAAAACGCACAAAGCAACGAAAGAATGAAGCAATGGAAGCACAGATATACTGAAACAAAAGTACCCTTCACAGAACGGGGGCAGGCTCCAGCAAGTTGCTCGAGAGCCCTCGTTACAGAATTGTCTGGGGTTTAAATACCCCCTAGAGGTTTTCCATTGGTTACTTGGTTACAGCCACGTAAATGAAGAAGTGGCTGCAGCCAGTCTGATTGGCTGTGGGAAGGACCAATCAGATGTACTTCCCATTTTTCATCTGCCATACAGTGGAAAGGTGAAAGGGTTGAGTAGCCACTGATCCTTTTGTTACTTGGGTGTGGAGAGGTGTGGTTTCCCTTTTGATTCAGCTTTAGGAAATCAGTGCAAATCAGTCTTAGGTACCCTGCCTCCAGAGCCCATTCTCCTGCCTCAGCACCACTGCACTCCAGCCTGGGTGACAGAGTGAGACCCTGTCTCTGAAAAAAAGAAAAGAAAGAGAAAAGCATGAAACAGGAAGTATAGTATGCTATTATTTGTGTAAAAA